CCCACTTGAGAATGCTGGTACTAGGCCAACGCCGCGTTATCATAATACATAGAATCTATTGCATGAATAATTAACGAAATCGACAGATCCGTGAAATATATTTGAGTGTATATTTTTATTCGTGCAATAATATTACGTATATTATATATATATATATATATATATATATAATAATATTAATAATAATAAATATAATGCAGTAAATGTAATATATAATAATGTATTATATAATAATTAATAATAATTAATAATATATATTATTACATATAAATATGTACGTACATAAATTGAATGATATAAATATGTATATATACGTGTAATAATAATTAGGTGTATGTATATATTTTATTCATACAAATGTTACAATATATATATATTTTGCATATATTTATGCATATATTTATATGTATGCATATATTTTTATTCACATAATTATTTTTCGTTAAAAGAATTTTAAGAATAAATTTATCATAGAACCATTAAACGCGTCTCAAGTAACATGGTTTCTCTAAAAAATATACTTTCACTTGTCATCACGACGAGAGTGTGACAGGTATTAATTTTTTGTAGGATGTGAACAATGTTCATTCACAAATTACTCTAAGTCGTCCAAAATACGTACAATGAGAATATCGATGAAATTTTTGTTCAATAATCATCTATATAATATGTCGAAGTTATAGTTTATCTTAAATGATAGACACGTACGTATCCGTTACTTTTATCTTCGTCAAGAAATACCGCTGTTATAGCCATTTTCACGATATTAAATGCAGTGCGACAAGCAGTATCAACGCGGAGACAACTGACGCCGTGTCAAGACGAGGCAAGGATTTTATTTGATAAATCATTGCTGAGTAAAACAACCTACGCTCGATACGAACCTGCTGCAGCGGCAACAGAGAAACGACGCATTTTCGACTGGAGTTGAAAACGACCAGCGAATTCGCGAACAAGTCAACGTGTTGCGAGGTGGAATCTCACGGACCCCGCCATCTTCGATTCCACCGGCGAAATTACGTTCAAGGAACGGTGGAAAGTTTCAGCCGATATTAATTGCCACGTACGTGGCCGTTCTGCTTCCCGATGGCTTAGCCACGGATTCCTTCCGTTATAAGCTCGAATTCCCCGCTATTAATTCTCCGGCCGGAGTCTCTGGCCAGCGGCGGCACAAAGCTGCAACCTACCATCGCGTTGTTCCGGCGCACCTGCACTCAATATCCGGCCGCATTACGTATTATCGTTTATTCGCCGCGTATTCGATCCATTCGGGCAAACGATGCCCCGGCAAATTTTACCGCGTCGCGTTTTAGTTTGGTAATAGAACTTCGATATGCATAAATTGCAATCGATGCGACCGGCGCCACGAGGCGAAACCCTCTTCTCTCTCACGCTCCCCCCCCCCTCTCCTGTCGTCCGTCGCGCTCCAGTCACCCCTTGCAGCATCGTCGATAATCGAACTATGTTCGCGAGGCAACCAGACGTCCTCGAATTTCGAGAATTCGACGCGCTCTTCCTATTGTACGTCTAATTTTACCGTAATTTCTAGTAATGCCGGCTGTGCGATATTTGGGAAAAATGCGGGAGGGGGAGGGTTCGGAACGAGCCGAGAGAATCTCTAACTGGCCGAATGGAATTTCTGTTGCCGGCGTGCCCTTTCGGGACCCGTCGTTGGGTCATTTAACCCCCTTGCGCTGGCCAACTGGTTCGCGGACCATAACGAGTGACCGAACCCGTAATATAATAATTCGTCGCTTTCCTTTTCTTTTGAAAAGGTACGACATCACAGGATAGAATTTACTAACACTATAACCAACCAAAGCAGTCAAAACGACTAATTTATAGTTTTCTATGAAAATTTTACATATTTATAGCAGTGTATTTTTACACTCGAGTGACTTTTAGTAAAATATATTAATAGAAGCTTGTATTCTTTGTTGCATTATCAATTTTTTCTTGTACCTTGCGCTTGAATTTCTTTGCTATAGATATTATACATTTTCGTCGACAATTAAGAGGTAATATACTTGTCATTTGTTTTGCTTGGGTTACATTTAAATATACTTGAAACTGAGAAAATGTTGCAAACGTCATTCCAGCGCAAGAGGTTAATATCTCGCAACGCCTGCGTCATCGATCGACAATCGTAACTCATTTACGTATAATATATTAATAATTAAATATATATATATATATATAATATATATAAGGAATATATATATATATATATATATATATATATATATAAGGAATTAGGTAAAATAAATATATTCACCTGTTTATCTAAAACATTGAAAATAATTCTAAATCAATCTGCCCAATGAGTAATTGAATGACTACTGTATAACTGACTGTACAAAGGTAGCATAATCAATTGATTTTCAAATGAAATCTGAAATGACAGGATTAATGAAATACATACTGTCTTATATATAAATTATGAATTTAAAATTTTAATAAAAATGTTAAAATTTTTTATGGAACGATAAGACCCTATATAGATTTTTGATAATCGCAATCGAGTTCTTCAACGATGATCGTTTTTGGAGAATGCACTCATCTTGAGTGAAAGTGCAAATTAAGCTTTTACTGCAAAAATTGATTATTTTTGTAGAAGGAAAGGAGCGATGAATATATTTCGTTTGCTAAAATAAAATTAAATGGGCGATGATTTCTTAATTTCTATAAAAGTATTGTTACGCTCGATGCAAATCTTGCTGTTCTTGAAATTTCTTCAGTCCAAGTATCTGAATCACAAACAACGGTATTTGATCGACGTCAATGGTTAAACTAGAAGCTAACTAATAGCATTTGCTGTGATTCAAAATTATTTTAAATTTACTCTGCGTTCGACCAGTATATTTATGCGTCGTTTGATTTTAATCGCGCAAGCAGATACACTTTCAAAATAAAATTTTCGCCTCTACAAGGTTAGTTGTAAAATCTCTGAAACATTATACGATACAGCAATTGATTTTAATATCACGTGAAAAACGATGTAAGCACAGTCGTTAATATAAAAAGATAGTGACGCGTACAGTAACAAATCGGACGCATATTGTTGCCTGGAAGAAAAACAATTTAATAAAAAGAGGAAGATACACGCAGTGAGATGGCAATGGAATACAAAAGATACAAATTACATTCGTGATATCTGCAGAAAATAACCGGGTTTATTTTCAGGCAAATATTTCATACAACAAACAACTCTGTATAAATTTAAAATAAAATATCTGTCACGGTTGCATATTTATGATTGCAGAGTTATGATTATCATATTTTTGCAATGAATGTCATTATCTTTAAAGAACGCGTATGGTACTTTTTTTTAAAACAAAGATCATGTCAACGACGAGTTCTATGGTATCTTACTAGGTAAAAAAATCGTCCACTAGAATTTCGAATGTCAGTCTCGAATATGTTAATTCCATTTAATTCGTTGCCACTCCCTGACGATGAATGTAACATTGTTTCAGGTGCCGCGTTCCTTCCGAAACAATTGAGAAAGTGAATTATTAACCCTTATCACTGTAACGGACGGTAATGCCAAACGCAGACGAGCATTCTACGAGCTCGAAACGTTATCTAAGCGACAAGGGTTAACGTCGCCAGCATCGATAACCAAAATGTAATAACAAATTGTCAGAACAACGTGACGCAAGAAACCTCCTGGACGTTCAGACTTCCAAAAAAAAAAAAAAAAAAATGCATCGTCGCTAATTTATACAATATCGGCAAAACGATCCAGTAGCTTTCGGTATCGCTCGAGATCGGCGTAAGAGCGAAACCGAAGTTTCGAGCCGAGCCGAATCGGATATTTCAGCTTCAATTACGGACAGAGGAAAATAACTAGCCACGTTATGTTCGCGAGCGCCGCCGATGATGAGATCCCGACGATAACACGTAATCGTCGAAATATCAATTTACACGAACTCGCGGATCGTAATTCCCCTTCGTGGGATATATCGACCAGGTTCGTTCGGCCACGATCTCGAGGTTTTCGCGGCGACGAAACCCGTAAATAACGCGGCTGCTGCACCACCACGGCGTACGACATTGTATCGAGATAGGGCCCCGTTCTTGGTAGCGGGACACGCTGCCGTGTTCCACCGTGAAACAATTCGATCGGTCCCGAAGATACGGGAACGTTGAGGTAGTCCTCCGCGTCGCCCTTAACTCTTGCCGTTCTCTTCGTCCGGAGCCGGAGGGAAAAGACGGTCGTATACAAGAACGTAAACCGGCCCTATCCGACGGATTCATCTCGGTTAGCTGGTTATTTAACCGTTTATGATCCGGTGGCGAGCATAGTAAGAAACTATAACATCGACGCTGTCCTTTTTCTCCTTTTTTATTTTTTCCCCTTTTACTCTTTCATTCATACGTAAGTTTTTCGTTGAAAGACGAGAACGTTAAATTTCGAAATGTTTCAATTTCGTTTGTTATGTAATCTCTGTTAGCTGGTTGTGATCCGGTGGCGAGTATAGTAACAAGAAACTGTAGCATCGACGATACCAATCTTTGTTCTATTCCTTTTTATCTTTTTTCTCTTTTTCTATTTCACTCGTACGTAAATTTTTCGTCGAAAGACGAGAATGTTGAATTGACTTTAAATATTTTTTCGTTTGTTATGTCGTCTCGGTCATTCAGCCCTTTATGATTCGGTAGCGAGCATAGTAAGAAACTATAAGATCGACGCTACCAATCCTTGTTCTTCTTTTATCTTTTTTCTCGTTTTCTGTTTCACTCGTACGTAAATTTTTCGTTGAAAGACGAGAATGTTGAATTGACTTTAAATATTTTTTCGTTTGTTATGTCGTCTCGGTCACTCAGCCCCTTATGATTCGGTGGCGAGCATAGTAAGAAAGTATAACATTGACGCTACCAATCCTTGTTCTCTTCTTTTATCTTTTTTCTTCTTTTTTTCTTTTTCATTCAAATTTTCCTCGTCGGAAGACGAAAACGTTAAACGTTAAAACCTCGAATGTTTTCGTTTGTTTCAGCCCAATGCATCGCGCCGCTTGGTATGGAATCCGGCGCGATCCCGGACGCGGATATCACGGCAAGCTCTACGTTCGACACGGGAAACGTTGGTCCGCACCTAGCACGGTAAGCGACGCTTTTTCATTTCGATAGCATACCCTCGATGCCATTCGTCATTCCTATCTATCGGTGACTTCTGTTACTCTCTGGCTGGACGCCATCGAATCGCCATCGGCCAACGATACTCCGCGTGAATGGAAAGTTGCCTATGAATAGTACGGGTGCAACAAGAAAGTCAAAAAGAAAAAAAGAAAAAAAATTCAATCGGGAGCGAAAGGTGGTAAATGCACGAGTCTGGAAGATATTTCCACTATTTATCACGGTTGATGACTGACACGGAGTGATATAAAAATACGAACAGAGTTAAAAAAATACTAAGTGTCTATCTAAGGAATCTATGTCTATTCGTCAATACACGTGAAACTTTGTAGGTTATAGTAAATTAGATTAATGAAAGAAATATAATAGAATGTCTCGCAATGAATAGAACCTCGAAAAATTTTTTTTTGCTTGTAAATCAAATTAAATTCAGATAATTTATTACTTTAACGTTTCCTTTAAATATTTTTAACACTTTTGAAAGGATATTTCTCTGCTCTCAATCAACGATACAGTGTCTAAGTCTAACAAAGTGCCAATTACCGATTTTCATGAATTTATAAATGTAGTTTTCGAAGAAATATTCGACACGTGTCTTTTTCTTATCGTCAATGTGCAAGAGGTGAAAAGTTTGAGAGTTCGAAACATATTTTGACGAATATCTCGGAAATTACTGCTAAAATATAATTTTCGTGTACATTGGCAAAATTAGTGTTCCTTAACGACGTGTACTATTTCGCGAAAAAGTCAATATAGTAAAAAAATATATACATAACATAATATATTTAAAAAATATATAAACAACATATTTAAGAAACCGTATTTTTTTATAACTTTACGACATTTTCTCCAAGCGAATGTTGATACATTGCAAGTCTTATACTCTATTCCCTCGAAATCATATCAAAACAACACGAATTGTCGTGTCATTGCTCTCAACCTCCCTCTTAAAATTAACAATTAACAAATGATTTCGATCCAAGTGTATAGTTCCGTCATCTTTCATATTTCCAATTACTTCCGATCGATTAACTCCGCGATCCATCCCAAAGACCCCGAGTTAGACATTCTCTCGCGTTTCGTCTTTACGGTCTGCCTCTATCTTCGAGTAGGCTGCCGTAACGATAGATCTCGCGAAACAACGAGTTTGAAGCAGACGGGCTCTTAAGATGGAATTGCGCGACATTCGAATGACGAGGGAGGATTGATCGAGGGTTTTACTAAGGTCGTTAAATCGGAGGGCGGGTTTTGGGGAAATGGCGGTGATCTCGGTAGACGCGTTCGCTATCGGGCCAAGTTCGCGACGAAAACACGGAGAGGCGGGAGGAATTTATTTGGCGAGGCACGTTTGCTCGTCATGCGAAACTCAAATGGGAATTGCGCGACGATTTTGGAGTTCGGCTTGATGAACGCAGGGTCATGGGATTGTGAAAACGTGTCTATTATATGCCTGAACGCTAAAAGCAGTGTATAAAGTCGATATAGTCCGGGTTATTTATTTGTTCGCGGGGGCCAAGTTGAATTTATTTGTCCTGTTAACTTGGGGAATACTGGAAATATTGTTCCATCGTCGAGCTGGTGGTGTGCACGACGTTCCAAAGCAAGCACGGCAGCTTCGTCGCTAGATTAGAACGTATTTACGTAAATGCGACAGTCGCCGAGCTATGAAAGATTGAGAGAACCTCATCAGAATTCCAATTTTCCATTCGAAAAATATCAAGCGTCGTTCATAATGAATTTAAAAGAGAGGTCCACGAGGATTTTGGACGTGGATTAATACGTTGATTACTATGCTAAATTTAAACGCGTTTCGCGTGTGCAATTCATGTACAATAAGAACGCTATTGAAGCAAATTATCCATTTTCTGATAATGCTACGTAGTTACTTACCGATATTCGTCTAATTTCAACGCGTGTCAAAAAGATTTCTGATGTGTCGTTTTGTCTGTCATGAGAATCAGCAAAAAATTTCTGACTTCTTTATATAAATGCAAAAATGTTACGTATGCATATGTATTAACATGACGAGTGCTCAACATTATATCTGTGGCAGCAATACGAATCAAACATTTTGATTCAGAAGACAATTATCACTTGATTCATTACTATCCATTAGTATCCATTATCCATTACTATCTCCTAAATTAATAATTTTTATCACACGAGTAAATATTTTTTTCTCTAAAAAAAAATCATCGTGCTACGTCGACTAATATACCAAGAAAATGTATACTTCCATTCCAAAAATTGAAGTTGACCTTCACTTCAAACTTCTCTACGCGTCTACAAAAAGAAAATTGACACTAGAACTACCGAAATGGTCAAAATGACTAATTCATAATTCTTTTTAGATATATTACAGATGCAAAACAATGTATTTTTAGATGTTTAAATGATTTTTTATAAAAGTTATAAAACGAATAAAAGTTTGTACATTCTATTTCCATTTTTTTCACTTTGATATCTCTGACGAAAATTCTATGCTTTAATCCTTGATAGTTCTAGTGTTAATATCGTCAGAACATGTAGATACACCCTGAAACCGTTTTTCATTTTTCATTGTAAAATTTCTCGCTGCGGATAGTAACAACAATATAAATCAAGATGACGGTATATCAGGTGAGACAGCTTCGTCTGACATTCTGAATATTTCTGAACAAAACGTTTCGAAGTTGCGTATTAAAAAAGAAGCAGCAGCACGCTTCTGGATCTGGATAAAAATTTTGCGCGCGACGGTGACGTTCTCGGGGGGAGAATTCCAGCTTAAATCAGTCTGCGGCCGAAGAACGACTCCCCCGAGAAAAGCTCCTATCGAGGCTCCGATTTACTCGCGCCCAATTATACCATAATTATTTCAGGATGTCGTCCAAGCAGTTATTCGGTGAATTATTCATACGCGAGCGACGGCGTTCGCCGAGGCGAACGGAAAAGTAAATCGGCGCCTCTTTTCGCGTGGCAGTCCAGTTAAATCGCGGGGAGGGGGACGAACGAAAATTAATACTCGAGGATTCATTAATCGCGTGAATACTGTAAACGCGGCGGCTCCTGGGCCAGCTCCGTTGATACGTGGAATCCGGTTTATCGAGTTTGCGTGCGGTGCACGCAGGCACGCAAGGCGAAAGACGTTATCACGCGTGAACAAAGAGAGCAGAGAGAAACAGCGAGCGGTAATTATTTCTAATCTGACCGCGCCGCGCTTTTTTCACCCCCGTTTGCATACGGAAGCCACGTGACGGTCACGAAGCCACGTCGCGGCCAGATAAAATTTCAAAAAAAATTTCCCAAACGCGAATAAAGAGAATTTCCCATGCTGGCGCGTGTGCACGTATCGCTGAAACAGGTAATTGTTTAACGTGGAAGTAGACGAATGCAATATTTCTCGTTGGCGGTTCAATTTGCGAAAAAAATTGGTTCTATAATTGTAATTAAGTTACAACGGAACTCCGTCCTTGTTAACTTGTTCCCCCCCCCCCCCCGAGGACAAATAGTTCGCGATTCTTGTGATTTTTTTCGTTCGTGCAACAGTGGTTCGAGTTCGTTTAATTAAGTGCAAATTAAAATTTGGTTCAGACGAATGGGGTTCGCACAAACGAGGCTCTACTGTGTATTAAAATTTATCAAGCAATAACTTGCTGCTCTTTGTGCCATTAGCACAAACTAATCGAAATATCGCCTTGGAATTGATCTTTACTAACAAGTTACTATACGAAAATCACCTTCTTTCATAAAAAAAAATCATTTTTAAATCTTTTAGGAAAAGACGATTGTAACAACAATAAAGAATGCAACACTAGAGATGAAAAGAAACAAGAACATAGTATAATAGTTATTAACGCGAATGTTGATTATACATGCGTAAATTGAGAAAATTTTATTTATTTACGGAAAATTTAAGTTGGCGGAAATTTGCAGAATGCATATATGCATATATTATGCAATAATATCCAAAGTATTATATACAGAGTATGCTATAATATACAGAGATTGAATTAAATTCGCATTTGAGCTTCGTTTCTTTAACGCAGAGTTGGATTAAATTTCATTTGGAATGAAGATAAAATATAAATTACTTTCACCAATTTATCTTGCATTTAAGTTAAATAAATTATTTGCAAATAATGATTTATTTCAATCAACTCATCTAAACAATAATAACTAGACTAGATTAACAGAATTAATATTAATATATGTATGATTTTATATATTTACGAGCATAATTAAAGAAACGGAAGCTAAATAAATATTTCATCTACTAAATGTCAGGATAGGTGCCATACTCTGAATATTTTACGCGCTTATGCTTTTTGTAGATATCTGGAGTTTTTAATTTTCAAAAGATGCGAAAACATTGACAGCGCAAAAATAACAAATAATAATCCCAGCGTGACGTTTGCACGATAGAATCAGAAACTGTCTGAGAAACAATTTATAGAGGCAAATACAAAGTTATATAAAAGAATGTTCTAATTGACGATCAAATAACCGATCAAATTGTTTGTTCAAACAAACTGACGTTCAAATTATTTCAGGATAATTCCGAGCCAAATAAGATCAAACAATTACTTCTCAAATGTTTTATTCAAATAATGCCCAAATAAAGCCTGCTTTAATACTGCACGGTGTAATCACAAAATCATAATGAAAAATTACTGCAATTAAAATACCTATCTACATACATACAGACATGCATGCATCAGTGTTCTATCAGCTCAGAGAGAGAGGAAAAAGAGAAAGAAAGGAAGGAAGCGAAGAGGGTGGTTCGATTCTCACAGCTCGCGAGAGTTGATGAATTCTAATCGCAAGGGTGATGCATATTCCGGGAAGAATAAATCCCGAGATAACAACGTGCAATTAAATCACCTCGCATGTTCCCGCACGTTCCTTTTTTCGTTCTTTTTTTTTTTTTTGTTTTTCTTTTTACGCGTGCCGAGTCGCTCGGCTTATAATTAATATTTACGCGAAACGTT